CTGCCCTTCCTCTCCCCGTCATGAGAAAGTTGTAGATTGCTATGAGGTCTCTCCTCAGTCTCCTCCAGGCTGAACAGACCCTCAGCCACTCCTCATACAGCATCCTCTCAAGGCCCTTCACCATCTTCATTGCCCTCCTTTGGACATCCTCTAATAGTTCAATATTAATTTTCCCTGTATTGCAGCACTCAAAACTGCACACAATATTCGAGGTGAGGCTGCCCCAGTGCAGAGCAGAGCAGGACAATCCCCTCCCTTGCCTAGTTGGTGATGCTGTGCCTGATGCCCCCAGGACAGGGTTGGCCCTCCTGGCTGCCAGGACACACTGGTGATTCATGTTCAACTTGATCAGGACCCCCATATCCCTTTCCATGGTGCTGCTTTCCAGCATCTCATTCCCCAGTCTGTCTATGCAGTCTGCCCCATCCCGGCTGCAGAATCCTGCACTTCACCTTGTTGAATTTCATACTGTTGGTGATTGCCCAGTCCTCTGATTTGTTGAAGTCTCTCTGCAGGACCTCCCTGCCTTCAAGGGAGGCAACAGCTCCTTCCAATTCTGTATTGCCTGCAAATCTGCTTAGTATCCCTTCTAGTCCTGCATCCAAGCCCTTTATGAAGATGTGTTAGAGCACAAGACCTATGATAGAGCCCTACAGAGACCCACTAGTGATAGGTCACCAGTCTGATGCCTGTATTCAGTGTAATCCTTTATGCCTGACCTGTGTGGCAGTTGCTCACCCATGTGTTTATCCAGCTATGTACTGGACATTTTGTCCAGAAGGATACTGTGAGAGGCAGTATCGAAAGTTTTACTGAAATCCAAGCCTTTAGGTGGGTTATCTTGTCATAAAAGGAAATCAGGTTTGATAAGCAGGACTTTCCTCTCATGAAGCCATGCTGGCTGTGACCAGTAACTGTATACCTGGCTTCTCTCAAATCAGCCCACAGAGAAACTCAGAGCTCTGGACTACACTGTGCCAGTGTAATGATCAGGAGTACACAAGACTGGTGTAGTTAAGAATACTACAGTTCCTGCAGATTTCCTTGTCTTCCTTGCAGATGCTCAAGAGTGACATCAGGTGTACATGCAGAAAGCAGAATTGCTACCTCCTGAATGTAGCTTTGTGTCTGGAGCCATTTCCACCCAACTGCTTACCAGCCCCAAATTAGAAGTGTACTCTGCTTTTGCCTTACTTCACACTTTCTTCAGATCCTCTGAATTTCCATTGAATGTCTCAGAATCTCTGTGACACTTTTGACCTTTTTCAGGTCTTCAATCTCTGTTCCACTTTCAGAGAAAATTACACTGCAAAAAATCCCTTCTGCACTAGTCATCTCTCCTGGACCAGCTTGTCCTTCCCACTATTCTCAACACATCCTTTCTGAAATGTGAGCTACTAAGTCTGATCCCATATGCAAAACATGTGATATTGCACATGTTGGAACATCTGATGACAAAAGAACTTCAAAAATAAGGACAATTGTCCTAGCCTGTTGGCTTTTTGAAGCTGCTACTAACCACGGACTTCCTCTTGGCTGAAGCCTGTGAGTGACAACATGTACAAGCAAGAGAGCTCATTAACAGTCAGGATGTTTGAGGGCGGTGCTCCATGTGCAAAGCATGTTTAATTTTATCAGCAAATCAAGCTATTTTTACTCACAAAGTACTCTGTGAAAATGACAAGAGCATGGGAGAGCTGAAAGATTTCAAGATATAGAGACAACTATTTCTATTTTGAAGACTCTGCTGAGAAGATAAAAATTATTGAGGCTGAAATGAAGCATTCCAGCATTTACTGTCTCTCTTGACAGTAGAAGCACCGTGGGAGACAGAAGAACAAAAATTAAGTTAGAGAGATAATATACAGGAAACCAATGTTATGTTATATTAAAAGCTGCCAGTATTTACAGTGACAAGCTTGGAAACTAGAAAGGAAATACTGCAATACTAAAGTATGCAGAACATATTCTGCCTATATTCTCCCCCCACTCCTTTTAGAAAATAATATTAAGGACAGAATTATCACAAAAAAATTGCAGGAGCTAGATGCCAAATGGATAAACTACTTCATAGATCAGTGAAGAACCTAGCTGTCTCTCTGGGGTACAGAACTGTCCTGATCTTAGAAGGATATGCAGCTAATTTGTGTATGTAAATGGTCTGGTTTACAGAAAAAGCCTAAATAGGGAAAATCATCTCTCTTATCTGTGCTGAAGAGAGAACACAGTACAAAACTGAAAATCGAGACAAGAGAAAGCTGATCTCTTCCTACTCTATTCAGACCAGCAGTCCACTCCCCAATGCTCGAATTAGGTACTTCTTGTGAAGTGGGTACTTTCTTCAGGAAGGCTGGAGCTTAACAATTACAAGTCCAGCTCAGGCACCTGCTGGGTGACAAAATAAATACTGGCTTTGCTGGAATCTCCCTATGCCAAAAAAGCTGTAACCCAAAACAACTGAAGTAAACATAGCCTAATCTTCTTGCAGTAGAGGAACTGTTGTGAAGGTGCAGAACAAAACATTAACTGGCATTCTTTTTTTATCTGATAATCTTCTAACAACTATGGATTTATCTTTACTAAAATATGTAGCTTGTGGTAAAATTATTTGTATATTTCATTTTTTCTAGAACAGTTGCCACAGAAGTTTGTAGCTCCACTGTCTGGAAAAAAATCAGCTTAAGATGTACATAGTTTTATTTCTATGGTTTTGCATTTTTCTGATGGGTCGTCTTACTCTCTGAGATGTTTGATTCTTTGCAAGACAGCTTCACTTCAGTTAGGCAGGTTTAAGACCTTGATTTTAGCTCTTAGGCCTAAGTATGTGTCATAGAAACCCATACAAAATTAGTTTAAAGTGACACGTCTTGTGGCATGACTCATTGGCCATCAGCAGTGCTGATGCTACTGCCAACCCAGTATTTTGTCTTACAAAGGGGAAATCCTGGCATCTCAGAATTATCCATTCTCATCAGCACTTCTCAGTATCCCATCTTAGTAAATCTATTCAAATTACTATTTTGCATGATGCAAAATACAAGTCAGCTATGCTGGAGACTCTCAAAATACTAAGTATGCATGGTTTTTGGATGGGGAAGGGGTTTTTTTGGCAAGGCTATAACCTGATATTGGCATGTGTGGTTTTATTCTGTCATCCTCCTTTAGTTGTTTGAGGGTCTGAATAAAATCCTGGTATTACTGAGTCAGAGGTGAAAGTTACACTGGTGAGTGTGAGATACTGGTGTATCTTGGTGTTTAAAGATACAAGCAGCGAAATGTATGTTGAAGCACAATTTCCTTTCCGATGCTTTAATTTCTACATACTTCTGCTAAGGAGCTCTCAAAGCTTGTTTGGCACCATCTAGTCACTCAGCACGCTATAAAGGGCAGGAAGCCCAGTCTTTAACACTTATTAACATGGGGCAAGTAAAGCATTAGCAGGCAGACTACTGGCTCACCACCTGGACAGAAGAGAAGCATGCTTTTTCACTCTCACATTGATTTCTGCTCCTTGTGCTTTGTCTGACAAATTTAAAATAAGATTATTATTTAATAACTAGACATTGATACTATGTCCAGCATCTTCAGGCTGTGTATCTATACATCTGTACTACAGATGGAGCATTTTTAGAACCCATGAAGCAAATGGGTTGTTTCTGCTCTCTGTTGCATGTGGTGTCATTGACAAAGGCTACATCATGTGTCTAACTACAGGTGTTTATATACCACAGACTCTTCTGGGAGTCAAAGCATCATACACCGAGGGCAAGAACTGTGATATCCTCTCTGAATTTCACCCTGCACACCATACTTAAATATTAGTCATGTTTTACAGAGGATGCCATCTATTGCCTAGTGGTCAGGACTGTCAGCAGCTCCTACTACACCATCAGCAGGACAGGGACCTCACTTTCCTGACAGCTGGATGCCTTAAACCAGGGACATGGGATCATTGTCCATCTCCTTATGTGAGCATCTTCCAAGGTCAGGCACAGGCTGGGCTGGAGATTCTGAGACTATACGTTTTAATTTAAACACTTGAAGTCAGTACTTGTTGACTTTCCATCTCCCAGGAGATTTCAACTAATCTTAGATGTCTAAAAAACTAGAAGCCTATGTTTGAACTGGTAACTTTATGCTCCTACTGTAGTTAATAAAGAGGGCTATCAGGAAGACATCCACAACAGGTTGAATGTCCCTCTGTGGGTGCCCATTTCTTCCTTACAGCTGCAAAGAGTGACCCGCTCAGACAGCTATGGAACTTACAAGTGTAAAAACTGGAGCAATGAGTCACGATCGAGATGTCCGCATCCCATCAGCACACACACATAGACAAAAGTGTGGCTGAGAAACCCCGCAGCTCTCTATAGCGCCGAACTGCAGCATTTCTAAAACTCACTGCAGATTTTAATAGCTGTCGTCTACCCTAAAAATACATTTGGCACCTCTTCTCCTCACTGTAGCGTCTTGAATGTTCTTTCTCCGGAGCTCTGGTGAATAGCAGGACCAAGCACCCCTCCTCGGGACACCCTCGGGTGCTCGGTACCTGTCCTGGCTAACACCTCCTTTTCGGTGCGTCCTTTCCCGGGCGGGGGTGAGTCCCGCCGTGCCGAGCCCGCCCCTCCGGCCCTGCCCGGGGGAGGGAGGGAGGCCGGGCGAGGGGCGGCCCGGAGCCCGGCGCAGCGGCACCGGGAGCAGCGGCAGCAGCAGCAGCAGCCCGCGCCCCGCCGGCGGCGGTGGCTCCTCAGGCAGCAGCGGGGGCAGGTGCGGGCGCTTCCGCGTCGCGCTGCGAGGAGGAGCAGGACGAGAAGGAGACGGCGGCGAGAGCGGCGGGCGGCGCGGCCAGCGGCCCGGAGCCGGGCCGGCGTGCCCGTGGGCGTGCTCCCCGGCGGGGAGGACCGCCCGCCGCCTACATCCCCGCCGCCGCCGCTAACTTTGCTTCTCCGCAAAGAGCCGCCCTCCGGCAAACAGAGGGTCGGCGGAGCCGGGGTCCGAGCCGGCCCCAGCGATGAAGGGCCGGCGACGGTGGCGAGGCGAACATCGCCGCTTCGCCGCGGTGCTGGTGCTGTACACGCTGCTGCTGCTCCTGCTGGTGCCATACGCGCTGGACTACGGGGCCAGGCGCGGGCGAGTGGACGAGGAGCCACTGCTGCGGCGCTGCCCAAGCCTGGAGGAGGCGCTGAGTGAGTGGGGCTGGGAGCAGCGGCCGCCGCTGGACGAGGAAGAGGAGGAGGATGAGACGGGCACGGCCGGGACGGCGGGTAACGGCAGCGCGGGGACGGCAGGGAAGCGGCACATCTACCTGCATGCTACCTGGCGAACGGGCTCCTCTTTCCTCGGGGAGCTCTTCAACCAGCACCCCGACGTCTTCTACCTGTACGAGCCCATGTGGCACCTTTGGCAGGCGCTCTACCCGGGGGACGCGCTGAGCCTGCAGGGAGCCCTCCGCGACATGCTGCGCGCCCTCTTCCGATGCGACTTCTCCGTCCTGCGCCTCTACACCGCCCCGTCCGGCCCCCGCGACCCGCTGGCCCCCGCCCCGCCCGGCGCCGACAACCTCACCACGGCCAGCATCTTCGGCTGGCGGACCAACAAGGTGATCTGCTCGCCGCCGCTCTGCCCCGCCGCCCCGCGGCCCCGCGGGGAGATCGGCCTCGTCGACGGCGCAACCTGCGAGGAGACGTGTCCGCCGCGGGCGCTGCGGGAGCTGGAGGCCGAGTGCCGCAAGTACCCGGTGGTGGTCATCAAGGACGTGCGGCTACTGGAGCTGGGCGCGCTGCTGCCGCTGCTGCGGGAGCCCGGCCTCAACCTGCGGGTGGTGCAGCTTTTCCGTGACCCCCGCGCCGTCCACAATTCCCGCCTGAAGGCGAGGCAGGCGCTGCTGCGGGAGAGCGTCCAGGTGCTGCGCAGCCGCCACCGCACCGAGCCGCGGGGCCCGGCCCGCCACCAGCAGCAGCATCTCCTGCTGCCGCCCGGGCTGCTGGGCGGAGGGCGGCCGCCGCAGCCGCAGCACCGCGCCGAGTTCTTCCTCGGCGGCGCGCTGGAGGTGATCTGCCAGTCTTGGCTCCGCGATCTCCTCCTGGCCCGGCGCTCCCCGGACTGGCTCCGCCGCCGCTACACGCAGCTCCGCTACGAGGACCTGGTGCGGGAGCCCCGCGCGGAGCTGCGCCGCCTGCTGCGCTTCGCCGGGCTGACGGTGCCGCCAGCCCTGGAGGACTTCGTGCTCAACATGACCCGCGGCGCCGCCTACTCCTCCGACCGGCCCTTCCTCATCTCCGCCCGCGACGCGCGGGAGGCCGTGCACGCCTGGCGGGAGCGCCTCAGCCGCCAGCAGGTGCGGCAGGTGGAGGCGGCGTGCGGAGAGGCCATGAGCATCCTCGCCTACCCCCTCAGCGCCGGCGACGCCCGGTAGCGCCCGAGCCCCGTGTCCCGGACGGGCCCGAGGGCGGACGGACGGACGGGCAGAGCTGAGCGCGGGGCTCACCGCTGGCATGGTAGGCGCCAACTTGGTGGGCCGGGCGCTCCCCCGGGGGCAGCCCCGGCTGAGGGACACCCGCCTCGCCTCGGGTACAGGCAGCGCTGCAGGGTCCAGCCCCCCGTGCCGCTATGGCTTACTGTGCCTGTGCTCCTTCTGGGCTGCGTGGAGAGGGCAGGGGGGATGTTTTATTTACGAGAAGGGTTTGGTAAGAGGTGTCTTTCGAGTACAGCATCACTCTTGGAGCCTTTTAGCGTGAAACCGTAATCGTGTATAAAGCACAGGTATGCTACAAACAAACTGCATGAAAATTTTAAAATCCCCCAGGTGAACACTCTCAGCAAGGAACTAGAGGGCCTGGAAGGTGCTCCTGTGAGAGCATTGCCCTTAGGAGCTCTGAATCACACTGATATAACTATCCTACTGCTACTGAAACACAAGAGGCTTCTGTGAAGTCGCTGCAGAGGTCAGCAGGGGCCTGGACAGCCAGGAGAGTGCCTGCTGCAGGGTAGGACTCAGCTCTGCTGCTCCAAACCTGCTCTGCAGGGATGCTCTCTGCCCCGTTCATTGCTGGTGCTGTAGGGAGGGGGCTGAGGGAAGGGGAACCACATCCAACTCTGTCCATCGTTCTGAGCAGCAGGGTAAGCAGTCATGCAGGGAGGGTAAGCATTTGCCTGCTTATGTGTTTTGAAAATGTTTGTGGCAGAAATCTTTGCTTTTCTAAAGAAATCTGTAATTGTCTTGAAAATAGGATTTTTTTTATCTATATACATCTATTGATATTGTTTGCTGACACTCATGTGAGATACAGTTGACTAACATGTTCCTTGGAACATGTGTAGGGGTGAATGAAACTAGAAGGCAAATGCTCGACATTTCTGTTTTGTTTTCTCTGTCAGATGAGAGAATCACTTTTCTTCCCTTGCTTCCGGGCTGACACATTGTGCCGTGCTCAGGGTCCTCCTGATCACATCCTTTCCAAACAACAACATCCTCTCAGCTGGCAACTCCTGGACAAAAGCAAATGTTTCCTAAGAGTCTAAAGACAAATTAATCATGAAGTTCCCAAATAAAATTTTACATTAAAAACAAACAAACAAATGAAACAAACAAAAAACCCTGATTTTTATTTTGGATTTTAAAATTACATGTTCCTGCAAATATCCTGCAACTTGTGGGAGAAGAGGGTGTTTGTTTATCTGCAGGTACCTTTGTTTCTTAATTTCTTGATGTGTGGATAGAAGGTTCAGTTGTAATTTAGGGATGCAGTTTCATAACTTCATAGAGACTGCTTTTGAATCTATTACAGTTTGGTAATGGCCCCACAAGAGGGTACAGGATTATAGGGATTTTTACATGCAGTCCTCAAATACAAACCCAGAATATGAGTTTCAAATTGAGGATAATGCAGGATCAGGAAGAAAGCGGTATTTATATAAAGTGCTGAAAATAAAGGCAGTTCAAAGATGTTATGTTATCATGGAGGAGGTGTTTGAATTACACTGTACTTTTTGTGCTCTGTTATGCTGCACAGCATGTCACTAAGTTAGGATGGAACCTTCATTTATTTTAGCTTTTTTTCCCTTCATCTTCCCATCTGAGAGTATGTTGGGACAAGAAGCAGGTTTTATTCATTAACTGACAGGAAAATGTAGTCATAAAAATGTTTTTGAACAAATGTATCCATTTCCCTGTAGCATATTTCATATAGTTCTACAATCTTGGCTTCTACTTGAAGAATTACAGAGATTACAGATTATTCTCGTTTTGTGCCGGAAAACTTTGTGTATTATCTAAGGGATGTTTCTGCATTCTCTCACTGTGCCTGTGACACCAAAATTTGTCACTGGGTGTTCCAGTAGCATTTAATAATGGTATTTTTATAGATAGACAATACCTGTACAATGCCTTCATAACCTGTGTCAGGTAACCTCTTTTGGAAGGCTTTTCTGGGACTACACCCAGTACAGCCTGACTTGTACTGACAGGTTTGAAAGAAATTAAGATTTTTGTGCATACCAACAGATGATACGGTACTTATTTTCTTAAATAGGATGGGAGATTAAAATCCAGTATATCCTGTTGATTGCTCTTAGCAAGTTGCAGTCACAGAATTGTGAGATGCAACAGTTAAGCATTCTCCTCACCTTGACAGGGAATCTCATCATGCTCTTTCATGTGGTAAACATCTTCCCTAAGTCTTTCAAAATTCACACTTAATTTCTCTTAAAATGTTTCATCATGAGGAGCAAAGAAGTGTTAACATCTAGCTCAACTTGATTCTTGTAGCTGGGGGAAATCCACGCATTGGAATTTATTTGGTATTTTCTGAAACTGTTTCCATGTTCAAGCTGCAGAGGTGGGGAAGGGCCTTGAGGGGAACTGTGTGAGGAGCAGCTGTGGTCAGTTGGTCTGTTCAGCCTGGAGGAGAGGACACTGAGGGGAGACCTCACCATGGTTCACAGCTTCCTCATGAGGGGCATTGCAGGAGCAGGCACTGATCTCTCTGGGAGTCAGTGACAGGACCCAGGGAATGGCCTGAAGCTGTGTCAGGGGAGATTTAGGCTGGGTATTAGGCAAAGGTTCTTTAACCAGAGGGTGCTTGAAACAGGCTCCCCAGAAAATGGTCACAGCACCAGCCTGGCAGAGCTCAAAAGGTTTTTGGGCAATGCTCCAGGCGCATGGTGTGACTGTTGGGGCTGTCCTGTGCAGGGCCTGGAGTTGGACTTTGCTGATCCCTGTGGGTCTCTTCCAACTCAGGATATTCTATAATAGATGCATTTTCTGCATCAATAGTTATTTCTTTCAACAAAAGTTGTTCACTAGCCTGGTTGTTCTCTGTGAGTGATTATTTTAATTTTTAAATTTTTGTATAATATGAGAAGGGCTCCATTGGGCAAAGTGTACAAAATATAGCAAGTGCAATTTTTATTTTTGTATTCGGTGCACCTGAGTTCATTAGAAAACTCATCTAAAAAATCTATAAGGAATATCCAAAGCTGAGAAAGGAGCAATTAGGCCAGAGTGAAATCTTAGAACAGTGTGTGGATGACAATTGCTTAATGACTGGTGGTGTGACATGTGCACTTCAGTTACTTGAAGGTTTTCTAAAATTCTCCTGCCCAAGGAGGACAACTAAGGCTCACCAACAAATGCACCCCATTTTTCTCTTCAGGGTGTTTTAATGGCACTGGACAGCATCATTCAGGGTACTTACAGCATGTATTTGGTCTTGAAACTCAGGCCTTGAAAAAAAAACAACAAATGTACTGTCAAATGTCAGTGTTGGCATTTACCTGAAAAGAGAAACAGGCCTTATTAGGACAACTAGCATAGAGTTTCAGTGGCAGAGATCTTTGGAACCAACCATAGTTAGACTGCATTTTGAGAGCAGCTGGACATTTATGGCTTGGACAGTTTGAGGTGAAGTCACAGTTCTACTGGATCATGTAGCAAATTGAACCCTAACTGCTTGTTTAGAGAAGAGCATGGCATAACAAGAAAGAGAACAGAAAACACATTTTTATAGCCAACCAGAACTTGGAAGGCTTAGAATTGGAGTGCAGGACTCAGCCATAAAGTTTCCATATTTCAGACTGAGATTGGTAAAAATTACCTACTTGTGCTACATTACATACAATGAATTAACAAATTTAATTTATTAAAAAGTCATAATGGGAAATGGGTACAAAACTCACAAATGCTCACAAGACATTTCTGTCTGGTTTTACTTAATTTCTGATTGTCATACGTCCAAGTGAAGGGAGGTAGAAACTTGAGTACTGTAATTTTTCATAAAAAGTTGGGATATTTCCATGCCATAATTGTTAACTGCTCTTTTACAACATCATATCTGTATTTAAATTATTTCTTTTGGGGAGGCAAACTAATGACATACTTGTGGGAAATGATTAAAGTCCAGGGCCAAGAAATACTTGGGCCCCGCCTTATTTCTACTCCTTAGGATATTACTGATGGAGTCCTTGTAGATATCCACAGTATGTACTTACATACTGCAGGTACAATAGAAATAGTTTGGTACCAGTTGGAGTATCTAACAGAAGTGTTAGAATGGTTGTGGAGTTACTTATTTAACAACTTCAGTATTGCATGAGTCATTTTAGCCCTCTTGTCCCCTATCAGTCCGGGCATCAAGAAAAGTCCTGAGTTTCTGCATGAAGTTCTCAGTATCACCACTTCCAGTAAAGCTCAACGATAAAAATACTGCAGATTTTCTGGGTTTGTTATGGTAACGCAATTAAACCACTGAAACCCTGAGAGCCAGCAAGCCCGACAGCATGTTCTGTTCCTTTCTTGAGCACAGAGAGCTGTCACTGAGACTCTCTGATGGTGCATGTCATTTCTCAGAGTCACCATGCAATCCGTGAAGCACTGGGACTACCTGAGATGTTTTGTCTTTCCTATTTAACTTGCCATGACATGTACCACCATGGAGAATGACATGGGAGAAATACAATTTGTTAAACCTTGCACTAGCAGTTTTCAACACCTCACTGGTAATGTGTGTGTGTGTGTGTGTGTGTGTATGTGTGTGTGTGTGTGTGTGTGTGTGTGAATGAGGGGCCAGGTGCACACTGTCCTTCTCCTGGCTGTGTTTCAAAGAGATGAATGCTGGATGCAAACACATTGAGGTGGTGTGTTTCAATGATTAAGGGGCCTGTTGTTTGTTGGGGAGATGTATATCTGGCAGTCTCAGCTCTAAACAACAGGCTGGAAGCTGATTCACATTTTAGGACTTGCAATCTGGATATTGAGTACTGTGAAATTCTTGCTTCCACCACTGAGATGTTAAGCTCTGCTGCTAACCCGGGGCACCTGCAGTGGCATTTTTTGTTGCTGTTACGTGGGAATCCAGTCCTTCCCTGGAGCTTCCAAACTTCTTATCCTGTTTCTAAAGGTCCAATTTTGCCAAACTT